TGGGGGAGTCGTTTTATCTTTTATTAACTCACACACAAACCCACACCCACGCCCTTCATAATTATAGAGATAATCTATTAGTCAAGAAATAAAAATGAGATATGAGTATGAAATAGGATAATATGACATTAGTAAGTAAAAATAAAAAGTGTTTGTACTGTTCAGTTAAAATTTGATTTCAGATGAGAGATATATCTGTCGTTATGTTTTTGCAGAATACAACTCGCCAATATTCTGCTCGTCCTTGTTGCATAGTATCATAAAGTTGAGTACCAGGTAATCCAGCCAATAGACGACAATATTCGTGATCTGTAGGTTGAATATAACGGTCAGTAAAGTCAGCTCGTGAGTTACTTTGAATATCAAGTGCATGAAGAACATTTCTTGTAATATTGGCCTTCTCTTTAATAATAAATGCATTAGTTGTTGTTAAATAATCAATCAATACATGTGAACCATCGACATTACACAAGCCACACCAGAGAAAGTATCCATTAGGAGTAAGTATACGAACAACTTCATCGACAAATTGCTTTGCTGCTACTATTTCATCAAAAATGTTTGTTGTTTCAATCGAAAGAACAACATCCATTGACTCATTTTGAAATGGTGAATGAGTTTTTGAATCAGCTATCATAAATGAGAGTCGAGGAATTGTTGAATAACATTGTTCACATAGGTTAATGACATTTCGAGAAAAATCTATTCCAACATAAGAACGAGGAATATATGTACGAACACACCAAGCAGCACCAGCACCTCTACCACAACCCACTTCGAGTACATTTTGATCCGTAAGTGTTACATTAGCAAGAACCTAGAACGAAAAACAGAATATTCTAGTAATACTTGCAAAGACTTTTGAAGAAAAGGTTTAAATCGTATTGTTGATATTGTGACAGCTAATATTGTGATTAGTTCATTTTGAGCTATTCCTGTTACCGAGTTATTAATGAAAACTTCGAGCATATTACAAGGATTCTTTGGTTTCGATCAATTCATTATCTATCACTTGTCGAATACTTATAATAAAGTAACGAAAACTATGGTATGAGTATGATTCGTATTAATTAATTTAGACATCAAAAATTAATCTATGATATTATATCAGAAATATTTCAACTCAAATCTATTTGATTCTTTCATTCGTCTTCACTTACTTGCTGATAAAGTTTCTTCGAATAGTAGCCGGTATTGTCATCAATATGTTCGTCTAAATCTGCATAACCCCAATTCATAAATTGTAGTTCATTGACATTCGTATAGACATTTGAAATTTGCTCATACCACAATGATAATCGATCAAAGTTCTTAGATTTCTGTTGACATTTGACGATATCATCACAAGTGAATGCAGATCGAGGCAGTATTGATTTTGCTACATAAGACTCTAAAAGAAAGAAATTCAATGCAATAAAATGATGCATATATGTACCATATGACATGATCATCAGAAGAATAGTTTAACTTTGAATGATATTCCTTTCAAAAAATCAAAGAAAAAGATGTAGAGAAAAGAAAATATCCGTTATCAATTGATTTCACGTTGCAAAGACATAGGACAAAATTCTATTCATCGATATGAAATGCCAACCTATAACCAATTTATCCCATACGATGAGGTTTGAGTAAATAATTTGGAGTAAAATTGAATAGAATGATACATTTAAATTTTATGTGTATTAACAACAAACCATAAAAGATGGCAAAAGTATATTGAATGCGTTTAGATCATGATCAATTGAAAAGTTAATGAGAAGAAAAGCTATTTTTAATGACATGTCATATTGATCGAATGATTTTTTTCATTCTGACACGCAGGAAAGAGTCATAGGAAAGTCAAGTAAGTATATATCAATACAAGGGATTTTAGAAATCATAATGAACCAAAATCTCAAGAAAATCATCACGAACAAACTCAAATTTACAGAATATTACTTAGCATCTTAATAGTATTATACAAGTGTGTCTAACTTTATCTATTTAGATGACTTACGTGCAGGAAGTCCTTTCCATTGTGTGTTTGATTGCAAAAGATCATTTTTCATTACGAGTGTATAGGGATAAAGTCGATTGTTACCCATTAATTTACAGCCCGACATTACAACTGAGCCACTCATAAGTACACACGAGTTACCTATTGTAACAGGAGCCAGTTTTAGAATACGCTGTTCGAAACTGTGACACTAAAATGATTGTAGAGAACAGTAATGTTTAAATGAACAACAACAAGAAATGAATATATTACCATAATAAGAGCATTCATATTAAGTCGAACGTTATCTCCAATAGTCACCAAATTATAATCAGGGAGAGACAAAATATCAGGTACGATGACATTGTTGCCGATGTTCGCGCCATATGCTCGAAATAACCGAATCAACCAATGTGTATTGCCAAGGAATGAACAAATAAAAATTCGATGATCTTCTTGTAGTTTTTCTTTTATCTGTTGGATTGTTTCACTGTCTTCATAAAAATGCCATTGATACAGACTGTAACTAATTATTGTATGAAGGATTGGTCCACCAACAAGACCACATGACCAATAGATGCCTATGAGAAGACATTTGCTAATATAATGTGAAAAACATGTCTTCCAAAATGGAATAGTTTTAATTTGATCTTCTATTGCTTCTCTAATGGGCATTTGAAATGGCATAGCACGAGCTGGAACACCAATGAAAATATCTCCATTGTTGCTATTCGTTTCTCGAGTGATCCGCGTTAAACTGCCAACCATAGTATGAGATGCAAGATGACTTCCCGGCAAAACTGAACATCCGTTTGCAAGGTTTGTATGAGATCCTAGCGTTATCCAATCTACACGATGGTCACCCTCAAGTGTCATCTCAGTAGGAACTAATAAAACGTAACCAAAACTGGTGACTCCTCTTTCGAGTTTTAATAAATTTGTTGGATAGGATAAGAAGATGTCTATATTAGCGAGTTTGACATCATCTTCAACTTGAGCACCTAGCCAACGGAGAATAAAAGGATATAGATAATGATATATACCGGGTAGTGACCATGCATGATGAAAACTAAAAACAATTAATTGACGAAGCCACACCTTATGTAAATATGACCATGATGCAATTGGGTATGTGTCACCAGCAGCACAGGAACCGATTACGAATTTTAAGAGAAAGAGAGTGATAAAACAAGCAATAATTGACCACAAAGTCCAGCAAAAAGCAATACTAATAGGTAGTGGTATCTGTTCAACTGCATAAACTTTGTAGACAATGGCTAAAAGTGTACAATGAATACAGATTAGTGAGATGATTGTAATGACTTGATAGATCTTGTGCCATATTGATAATGATCGGTTATTATATGTGATTGAAATGTTTGATGGAACCGTTTTATGTTCGTCGCCATCAATAATCGTTCGAGATTCAATGAAACCAGTGACTGATGAATTAGGCTGAATAATAATATTATCTTGCATATCAACTCCACCAAACAGAATCGAACGGACACTAATTGAACAATAGCAACCAATTTTAATTGAGTGTAGTGCAAAAGTATCATTATCATTGAAATAAAAAGAGTTTAGAGTCGTTTTATCAGCAATCCAAGTTCCCTCACTAATATATAATAACCATGGAGCATCAATGGTAACGGTATAAATATGTGCAGTAAGACTAACTCGAGCACCACAAAGACGAAGATAGTAATTGTACAAAGGTGTACCAAGTATATGTTGTAGCCAAAATGTATTATTATTCCATAGTCGATCTAAAAACCACCATCGATAATAACTCCAGGAGAAAATATTGTCACCTTTGATGTTTTGCAGTGAAAGTAGACGGGAACATATGGCATATAATAGAAGATGACATATTGGTAAGATAGGAAAAAGAAGTGGACACCATTGATGAATTAGTATAATCGGACACAACCATTGACAAACAAGAAGTACAATACCTAAAGATTCTATGACAAATGAAGGTGTCAGACGATCATGCGTTTCATGAAATTCATTGACTGTGCAATCTATCTCTTGGAGTTCTTCGAAAGCGAATAAAGGTTCTATAGCTTGAGCCAATTGTCGAATAGATGGATTATTAAGCAAAAGACCAATGTCAACTTTATTACAAATCTTCCGACGAATCAGTGTCAGTGCAAGAATAGCACCCAGTGACGTACCACCAAGTTGACCGAAAGCAACTTCAACATGAGGAGATTCAATATGGAAAGCTTGACTAAATATATCTTGTAACTGTTCTTCTAAAGCAGTGTGCGAAAGATTGTCATCACGATCATAAGTTGACGATGAAAAATCAGGAGGCGGTAGAAGTTTTCGATCTATTTTTCCATTTGGATTCAAAGGTAGTTTATCAAGAATAATAAATATTGATGGTATCATATGTGGTGGAAGATGAGATTGACAATGTTGACGTAGTTCCTCTTCATTAGTATGAGAAGAAGATTGAACATAAGCAACTAAATAATCATCATTCCATTTCATAACAACACAAGCAGATATGGATGTAATGTTAAGTAAACATCGTTCAATTTCACCAAGTTCAATTCTTTGTCCATGTAGTTTGATTTGATGATCTTTTCTTCCTTGATAATGCAGAAGACCGTTCTTATCCATTCTAGCAAGATCACCTGTTCGATAAAATAGTTGACCATCTATTTCAACAAGAGATTTTGCAGTTAAGTCATCACGTCCGAGATAACTAGCAAAGACGCCCGCTCCTCCTATACACAGTTCACCTTCTTGGCCTGTAACAGATGGTTGTAAATATCGATTCATGATCATACATCGGTAATTAGAAAGTGGTCTACCAATTGAAACACTTCGGGTATTCTTTATTTGATCTACTCTGTGGAAGGTAGAAACTATGGTTGTTTCAGCTGGGCCATACAAATTCCACACAATGCAGTTGTTTATACCGAGTTTCATGATCAAGTCGATCAAATGAACAATAAAAGCTTCACCTACAATAGCGAAAATATAGTATGACGAAAAAACGAGAGTCGTTCTGGTCACTCACCGATACTGCAAACTGATCGAAGATGTTTTAAGACATGGCATTTGTTATTTTGCTCGACAGAAGTAAAAAACCTATGTAATAAACTTGGAACAGTGTGTAGATATGTGATCTGTTTGTTCTGTAAGACTTCAGATAAATAATTGAGATCAATAGTTCCACCTGGATGAAGCATAATTAATGTGCCTCCAACTATCAATGTACCAAGGATTTCTTGAACATGAATATCAAATGAGCATCGTGTCATTTGTACAACTGTATCATCATTATTAAATGAGTTAATATAAACCAAAGAATTGATACAATCAATAAAGTTCTGATGTCGAACTTGAACCTATGAAAGAGCATGAAAATAAATCAGATATTTGAAAATCAAGTAAAAACGAACCGCTTTGGGTATTCCAGTTGAACCACTAGTGAAAATAATGTATGCTATCTCTTCACCTTCCACTTTCACACTTGAAAGACAATTATTATCCATGACACTATTCATGTTATTAACATTTAATATTGAATCAATATCAAGTGAAATAATATTATCATCGAATTTAATCTTTGTTAAATAATGAACAAGTACAAGACGACTTTGTGTTTGTTGTGTGAGTGCGTGCAAACGATGTTGTGGATCTCGAGGTGATAATGGGCAATAAACACCACCAGCCATTTGAATTCCCATAATACCAATCACCTAATCAAGATTAATCTCAAACTCACATCAGTAGTTATTTCTCATAACCAACTTACCATTGACAAACTTCGCTCAACACACTGACACACGATTTCACCTGAAAACACATGATATTCATTGATAAGAGTTAAAGATAACACCTGAACATAATACAAAAGTTCATAATATGTCAAGGATTGTTCATCAAGTTCAACTGCTAGTTTTTGTGGACGTTTCATTGCTTGATATACAAACTCATGATGAATACAAGTGAGAGGAGATGAAAATGATATTTGTGTATTATTCAATGATTGCATTAGATATTGTTCATTTGATAACATTAATGATAATTTGTAGATAGGTTTGTTTATTTGATTATAAATCATAGATGTAAATAATTGATGTAAGATGGAATGAAATCGTTGCGAAATCTTCTCCACTGTCTTTCTATTGAACAAGTCAAGTGATGCATTGATTGTGCATGATAGTTGATTCAGGTTCTTATCATGATAAATAGAAAGAGAGAAGTCGGATGTACTTAATATCTCATCTTTATTAATGTTGAATTGAGAAGTTGCTGGATTAAGTTGAGAATCACCAATCATGATTGAATTATTACTTATGTGTGATATAAATTCTAGAGATGTGTCGAGAAATGCATGTTTAGAAATATGTGAATGTTGATCAAGAATACGTTGAAGAGGAAAATATGAATATTTCATGCTATTTGTTGTTATCTCTTGAACATGTTCGAATACTTGATGAAAGTACCAATGAGGATCTAGTTTGCATCGTAATGGAATGACATTCTCAAACAATCCAATGATTGATTTGAGTTCATCTTTGTGTCGATTATTATTAATATTCATAGCAATACATAGATCTGTCTGTCCATTAGTTAGTTTAAATAGAAAGATGAAATAAATAGTAAATATGAGATGTTCAAGTGATATGTTATTTGATGATGTATGAATGAGAAATTCATGTGAGAAATCTTGACCAAAATCAAATGAAATCGATGTTCCACGACCAGATCGATATTGATCTGCAAAACGATATCGATCAAATGGTAATGGCAAAAGTTGATCGAATTTACAATCATGAAGAGTATCAAGCCAAAACATACTTGCACCATTCATCGACATTTGTTGTTCAATAACAGCATCTACATAGTCAAAGAAAATAATGTATTAGAAAGGAAAAAAATGGAAGTAGTATTTATATTTACAATCGAGATAACGAAGATTAGTGTTGCCATTATTAGGTAGCTGACTTGTTGTATATGCCTGACTGAGATCATGAAGAAAGATATTCAATGATGAAAAGTCAAATAAAGCATGATGAAAATTGAAAATGACTACATCCTGGTCAGAAAGTAGATGATTTGAAGAGATTTGTTTGTAATAAATAAGATGACATCGAAAGACAAGACCTTGAGCAAGATCAAAAAGTTGAGGATTATATTTTTCTTCATGTAGGATATGATTGAGTTGTTCATGTGTAGTATAAATGCTTTCGATCAATGTAAATAAGGTATTGTGATTTTGGTTGAAGTCAATGACTTGCTGCATGAGTCGATTGTTGAGTGCATGAAATATGAGTGATGTGCGAAGAGCTTCATGTTTTGTAACGATTAGTTGAAGAGCATGACAAAGACGTTGTACTGATAAAGTATGATGTGGATGGAAATGATAAACAAAAGGCATGTTGTAGATTGGTACTTGTGATATGTGTGGAATGAAATCAATACATTCATTATGGCATAGTAGAGCTTGTGAAAATGATGCTGGTGCTAAATGAAGAGAGTTAGTTAAAGTTTTCATCCGTGACATAAATGCTTATTTCAACCGAAAAAATGACGCTTGAGTTAAAAATGCTAGTTTTCGAAGTGAAAAGGACAGAAAACTTCGGAAACTTTACACCATTTCATAGTCATCTATGGAAAAACCATCTGGAATAGTGGATTCATGTTGGTATATATCAGAAGAATCTTGTCGATGGATGTGTGTGTATATGAATAAAGAATCCACATCCATATCCTTGCATAGTCACACATCCACCCTATGGCTGAGTGCTAATTATTAGATTTCCTGAATGATATAGGAACATATCCTCGATAATATCTCTGTACAATGTATTCATTGTCAATAGAAATTCTAACTGTGAAAAACATCACTTCTAGTTAAACATACCTTCGTTTGTAATATGTGATTGTCGACAAAATATAATATCTTCCAGTTCTTCAGTTTCTTCTGGTAGAGCAAGATTAAACTTCGATATAGATGTAAAAGACGTATCAATTCGATTTATAGTTTGATTGGATGAACAAAGTTGTCGAAAACAATATTCTAATCTTCGACCTATATTTGTAACTGTAATCTCATCAAATAGATCACGTGAACAAGTTAAATGAAATGACAATCTGCTATTTTCCAGTAGTGGATTATAGATAAATGTTAACATAAAATCAAACTTAGCCACTTCAGATGATCGCACAAATGACACTTGTTTGAAACTTGCTCCATCCAAAGATAATTCATCG